TAATTTGCATATATTTTCCAAGATTATTCTCTCAGAATGACATAAAGATAAGTTCTTCTGTCGATTCTGGTCTATTGTCATTGACCCTAGATCACTAGTCAATTATAACTTTCATTCAATTAAGTCAAAATTGTTTCTTGTAAGAAGAATAGATCATGACATGACAATTAGTTTTTTGTTATTAGTAGAGTGGGGTGTAGTAGAAAAGTAAAACTGAATCAAAATGTAGATTTGTATTTTAAATTTTCTTTTAGTCAACTTAATAACTCAATCTTATTGATAAATGTATATGCCAACTTAAGAGCTTAGCTTCTGTAAATTTGTTTAAAAATTGTAAAATTTTGTAACTTATACAAGTATAGAGTTTAAGAGCTCAAAGCATCTTAAAAGCATGCTTCATTTTCATCAGTTTTTTGCTACTTCTAATCGAGGTCACATTGTTTTACTTCTTTTACTTTTTCGATCTTTACATCGATCTCCTATCTTTTCTAGCTGAATTGTCAGTTTGTTTCCCAGTCTTTTCTCTCATTATTGTGATAGCATTATCGCATAATAGACTGGTCTTCTTTGAACTTTCGAACCCCATTCAATGTCAAAAACTTAATCTTTAAGTGATGAGCTGAGCCAATTAGTCGTATAATAGACTGGCTAGGTCAGCCTAATATTATGTTGAAGGCTAAGGGCATATTTACTACCATAAACTTAATAATTGAGGTAATGCTCATTGGCTTATTGCCCAATGTGATTAGTAGTTTGATTGTTCCTTTTACCAACACCCGTTCATTCCCAATGTCAATCAATATGGTAGTAAATGGCTTTAACATCTCTTTTTTTATTTTCATTTTTAACATTATGGCCTAGTACAAGACATCAATCAAGCTCCCACTATCAAATAAAATCTTTTTTACCACATAATTATATACAATAATGATCAATATAATAGCGTTATCATGTGAGAATTGGATTCCTTTCATGTTTTCTGACGTGAAGAAAATTAGTTCATTTTTCTAGCTCTTTTTTTTTTTTTTTGCCAAGGACCTTATGGCCATGACCACTCTTTTGGAAGACATGAAACTTTTCCCAATAATCAATTAATTACGCCTGTGATGGGCTTATTGTCTACTACTCAATTTTTTCTTCTTGCTTGTTTTTCTAATTTCCACCGTTTTGGTTTCTATTTGGTTTGTCCCTTAATTTGTGATTGGCTCTTTTTTAATATCCCCATTCTGTAATCTAACTTACCTTGACCCTATCTTCATTGGTCCATAAACTTTTTCGATCGACCTCTTTTGATCAAATTTTTTATCTCATTATTTAGGTCAACATAATTTTCAGTGTTGTGGCCGAAATCTCTATAAAACTCATATTTTTTGTAGTGGTCTTAGATGATGTTTTGTCTAAATGGCTTTGGCCATCTGAACTTAGGATCCATTTTAATTTGCATCAAAATCCTCTCGTTGAAAGTATTCAGTGCAATATAGTTTCATTACTGACTTGAGCTTTTGGCTTTAGGGTACCCTTATTGTCTCTTTCTTGGGGAAAGATTGTAAATCTCCTTGTATTTTTTTTTAATTGAGGAAGAAGGATGAGCTTTTCTCACCTCAACTGTCGAGGAAGAAAGATAAGCCTCACTCACTTTAATTTTTCATTTTTGCATTAGGGTTTATATATTTTTTCATGATAAGCAGCACATCGACTAATATTTTTGGCAGTTCAAGAAAGATTATGAATTTTAAATGGTAATTTTTTATTTTAAGTCCACTGGTGATGGTGACTACTATAGTTGTTTGATTTAGGTCTTTCACTTATAAAGCTTTCGCATTAAAATACGTGACGTAATCTTTTAGAGACTCATTTCTACCTTGATAGATAAACATCAAGCTTGGGGTGGTCTTCTTGATTCTTCTGCTACTAACGAATCTGGAAAAAAAAGAATGGTTGAGCTCATTGAAAATAGTAATAGACCTCAATTTCAATCGTAATACCAAGATCGAGTTACTCCTTTGAGGGTTATGGTTGGACTTTTGCACATGAGAGCTTTATCTGTACCTTACATCATCATATTAATTTGATAAAGTTCTAAATGATCAAAGGGATCAAAAGTTCCATCATAGGTTTTTAAGGTTAGCATCTTAAACCCTTTTGGAGGCATGGTCCGATTGATTTCCCTAATAAAGGATAAGGTCTCTAGAAATTTTAACTTTTTCTCAAAAGATGCGATCTTTCCTTTCAATTCCTTTTCCATAGCTTGCATCTTGGCTTTTAAATCTCTGTTCAACTAAGGTTTTAGGTCAATCTGTTTAGATTTTTGTGTGGTTGCATGGGTAAAGTTATGACTAGGATGGTGATGATGGGTAGTTAGAATGGTGTGTTCCTCTTCCCCAATGGTTGAAGAGGCTTTAACTTCTTTATAACTTGGTTATCTTTCTATTGATTGTTAGCCAAGGGTGACCATGTCTAGTACTTTTAAAACTTATGGTGATGTTATGTTTTGGATTATTTTTTTTAGGACTTAGATTTGTTCGATCAAGGCTTGAAATTATTTCATGATTGGCTTTACTTGTGTCAGGGTAGGTCGATCCGTAGCTTGGCTGTTATGGGTTTCAATCCCAGCTGGGACGATTGGCTCTTATTCCTTGTTAACTCTTTTTCTGGGTGGCATGGTGTTTAGCTCAACTAAGAAATATAGACCCTACCTAGTGTGTCAAATGTTGGTGTCAAGCTCCGAGCTAAGGGTCGAGGATGCTCAAGTCAGAAGTCAAAATAAAATAGATCAAAAAGAAAGAAAAATAGAAAAGTCAAGGAAAAAATCTAATCGACAGTACTTGGATGACTTTATTTATAAGTGAAAAGTGAGGGGTCTACAGGGCAAAATAATGACATAGTCATAGCCGAGCTAATATGACACTATCATGTATGATCGATCTAAAATTCAAAAATGCCCCTAGTTATCTGTTGACAATCTCTAATAATAATAAAAAAAAAAACTAATTTGCTCTTTTAAACTCAAAAATACCCCTAATACTATCTTACTTTGAAAATTTTGTAAAAATTTTGATAACAAAATATCGTGGTAAATCATATAATATAATAGACTGCGCAAAGGTTTAGTGTTAATTTGAGCGTTTAATCGAATATGGGTCATCTTGGACTTTAGCCGATCCAATAACCTGTTAAAAGCAAGCACACTCTGGTGCGCTGTAAGCCTATAATCCTAAATTCAAGGCCACTATGGGCTCTAGATTAAGGCCCAAATTCTACTGAAGTTCTATTTTGACTAATTTATTTACCAATTCTAGGATCAAATGTATGAGGTGCTCGAGAAAAACAGTAATTTGTTCCATATATTCTGGGCTGAAGGGAACAAAATCGGCTACTGATTAGTACCAAAAGAAAGCCTTGGGTATTGGCCTAAACTGTCTCTGCTTTTCATCTTCTCATTTTCCTATAGATCCTTTGCCTAAAATACAGGTTCATACAAATTCTCGAGACTAAGTTTTCTCTCAATCACTGTTTCCCTTTCTCGGACCTGAGCCGTTGTGGGCACAGTTATAGCCGTTGAATTTTCGAAAGAAGAAAAACAATGCAGGTGGAGCCCCACAAGGCACCAATACCAAACTGTCATTAACAACGTGGGGTCATCACTCTCTACACGAAGGGAGAGATCATCATCATCCATTCCACCATTTTCATCATCGACTTCTTCAAAGACGAGAGACAGAAGAAATGCGCAATCGATGGACCCAACTAAAAATGAAAAATAGAGTAAAAAAAAAATGAAGGGAATGCGCATACATATATATATATATATAATTTTTCTACGTACATGGGGGAGGAGATTGACATGAGAAAGACTTAATGCATGGTACATTCTTAAGTGAGTAAATCTTCAAATCAAACGTAAAGGAAATGATCAGCAAATTTAAGGTTTCATCCGCCAAACACATGATAATATATATGAGATTATGTGATTATGTTGAAGGGAAAAAAAATAAGAAAAAGAAATGAAAGAGAGGAAAACGTATTTTTTATTTATTGTGTTTGATACAAAGACAATTAGAGAGATAGAAAGAGAGTAAAGATAAATTAAAATAATATTATTAATTTAATTTAAATGAGTGTGTTTTTTATATTAGAAAGGATTAGATTTGTAAAAAGCAAAAAAAAAAAAAAAAAATTCAAAGATAAAATACATCCGTTAATTCAAAATCAATTGAGTTAAGTTAATACAAAATTCTTATATAAATTATATTTACATATCCAAACATTTTGGATATGAGAAGCAAACAACATTAGATATTAACTCAGGAGGAGAGCATAGAAATAGTTCATTAAGTTAATAGATTGAAAGGAAGTTGAAGCAATATTCCTTCCGGCATTACATATAAATATAATACCACATGTTTTAGATTATTCATTTTAATTTGGATTTGAAAAGTGTGTTGGCGTTTTGTTTATTTATTTATTTTCCTCAAGTGGTGAGGAAGTTATTGTAAACTAATATGATTACTGTTAATTTTTTAATTATTAACGTAACAGTAAGAAAGCAAGGGTCCTTTTTCATTGACTGTGTCAATAGATTTGGAAAGACAAAGTGACTTTATACAAAGGATGTTGTTTCAGTTTTGGATAGCTACTTTGTGATATGGCCCAATGTGCGGTGGGTTAAATTATTGAGTGTGAAATATAATTTGGTTTATGGATGAGATGCTTCTTTAGGGAGAGAGCCACATGGGAATATCAGTGCGTAACACCTGCGCTGTGCTGTTATTTCAATGCCCCAGAAAGGAACATGTTCTAATATCATAGCATTTCATCATATCTCAATTCACCAAAAACAGAGCATTTCATCATCTCATGCCTGTTCATTTTGCATTTGTTGAAGCTTTAATCCGCTCTTTTTAAATAAAAATAGGTTTTGCCTATAAATTAAAAAAAAAAAAAACTCATCTAATATCCCCAAATCAAAACAGGCATCTGTAGTATGGAATAAGAGATTTATTCTCTACTGTTAACTACGCATTAGTTTAAATGATTAAAAAATAATTTTTTTATCAATTAGAAATCAATTTTTACGAGAATATTTGGAATATAATATCTTCAAATGCGCCAAATTGATGTCAAGAAATATTTGCACCGCCATTTTCCAACAATGAAAACAGGCATCACGAAAGTTCATGAAAAAAAAAAAAAAAACACAACAAAAAGCCAAACCCAGAACGCGTATGTTTTGCGAAAGCAGATATTAGTACACCTTAAGGAGCTTCCACCAACAGTGACAACTCAAAGCACACGCCCCATATCTGATATAGAGACATCGTTCAATGTTAATCTACATATCGAATATTTTCCCATTTACAAACAAAATTCCATATCTATAGACCTATCCAACTTTTTTTGAAAAGGAAATAAGGATGGTTGTTGATGAGGACAAAGCAGAGGGTGAAGGGAAAGTTTGGAGCCTTTGTAGAATGCCATTTTGGCAGACTTGTAGTAGCAAAGGCAATGGATCTTCTTCTGCTTCATCTTCTTCTTCATCAATGGGCAACAACAATATTTATCAGCAAAGCCAAAGTAGTCAGCTTGATGAAAGATCAACTTTGACTTCTTCAATGGCAAAATCTTTGCTTCCTACTCGAAGAAGACTCAGACTTGATCCTTCCAACAAGTTATATTTTCCTTGTAAGAATCTGTCGTTATTTTCTTCCCTTAACTGGGTCTTTTTCTTTTTCCCTTTTGGTTGGGGTTTGTGGTTCTTTGTTGCTTTATATGATCTTTTTTTCCTACGAGTCTTTTGGGAATGAACTTTTTGGCTTTTTTGTTTTGTTTTCCATTGCATGATTTTGTCAGTTTGTGGAATTGAAGGGGTTTCATTTGCTTCTTGCAAATCTCTGCCTTCTTTGCTTAAGTATCTGGAACTGTAAATTGTTGTATACTGGTTCACTAAATTAGGACCGGTTTAAATGATTTAAGTGCTGATTGCTTGATCTGTGCTCTTTAGCTACTACTTGCAGTTTCTAGAACCGATATCCTTCTCTACATTGCTTTCTGTACTGTGTCTGATTTATGTATTTAAGTTTGAGAAGGATTTCAAATGCTAATTGCTCATTCAGGAAGGATCTTATTCAATTCCTAAAATTGAGATTCTTTCTTACATTGAATTGCATTTTGAGTAACTCAAATTTCATGGCAAAATCATTTGCTAATTGCTAGCAAGTTATTTCCTCACCGTCTGTAGAATTTGGTCAATTTTGTTTCCAATAACTGGTTGATTTGAGTTACAATTGACAAAAATCTTATATATGTGATCAAAGTGATCCATTTGATGGTAGCTACCGTATCAGTAGCCGCTTGTAATAACACCATTGTTTCCTCTTTTGATTGCTGCAATAACGTCGTCAGCTATCACATTATTATCATGTTGCGTTCAATGATTTGGGTCTTAACAGGGTTCCTGTCTTCCTCAGACTTGCCTGTTAGTTGACTTTGTCTATATAATTTGTATGATTCATCCAAAGTTTTCACTTTTGAACGATTTCAGTTTCATGTAGTGGGTAAATTTTTTTTTTTTTGGTCAAAATTATTAGTCTTCTTTTGTCCCCCCGCCCCTCCACTCTCTGATTGGTGCTTATGAGTAGTATTTGTATTTCTTGGTGCTTGACTTGAACTTGTGCATTTTGTAGATGAACCAGGTAAACAGGTCAGGAGTGCGATTGGCATTAAGAACACTAGCAAGTCTCCTGTAGCTTTCAAGGTATGGAATATGTCCTTACCAATTTTTCTTTATTATCTGTGCTTGATGTTGACGTCTGAGGTGTGGTAAGTATGGTCATGTATGTCACCTGTGTTTGATGTTGATGTACGAATTGTGTTACACATGATCTTGTTAGTCTTATTGGATACTACAGGTTACTTGTGGATCTAAATGCCGCATAACTGTTTATGACATGCAAATATTGAATAGAATTTGCAATAAAAAACTAACCATGTTGATCACATATATTATGTGAAATCAGTTTTAAGTACAAAAGTTTCTCAGCATAATATTCCCAGTTTTCTACATCACTTCTATTGTGACAAAAACATGTTGCTAGTGGTTCTACATTCATTAGGACCATCTAACTGATAAAGTTGTGGTTCCTACAGTTCCAAACAACTGCACCAAAGAGTTGTTACATGCGACCTCCGGGAAGTATACTTGCTCCCAGTGAAAGTCTTATTGCTACTGGTAATGCATCCATTTTATTATCCCTTTGTTTTCTGTGCCTCGCCAGTCATCTCTATTTCTTCTTATCTTGTTTTTATTCCTTCTTTACAAAGGGGTTGGTCGAATGCTATAATGATTAAGGTTTTAATAAGTTCCTTTCCTGACTAACAGTATTCAAGTTCGTGGAACCTCCGGAGAATAATGAGAAACCAATTGACCAAAATAGCAGGGTTAAGTTCAAGATCATGAGCTTAAAAGTGAAAGCAGAAACGGATTATGTCCCAGAACTGGTATATTCTACAGGCTTGTTATTTGACCTCAACTCTTGATTTTAACACATTGCTGTCAGCATGATTTGGCCAAGTAACTTTATCAAATTATGGTGCCATCATCATTGTGCAGAAGTGGAATAAGTTATTCCAAAAGAAAACTTCCATTTCTTCTGATGAGTTGTTGGTCAAAATGGTCTGGTATTTGCATTTCCATAGAAAGAGGAGTAATTTTATTTTGAGGTGGTTCATTTGTTCTTGATGGACTGTGTATGGATTGATTGAGAGAGCTTAGAGATGGGGCTTGGTGAATTATTTTACAGATTTGTTAGGACTTGTCATTCATGTTGTCAAATGAAAAGAGCCTTGAGCTGTGGAACTTGTTAAGCATTGGTCTATAGAATAAATAGGTTCCAGGGCTTAAGTGTCTCTTTGTTAACATGTGTTGCAGCACTCATATCTATTTTACATCTTGAACTTTACTGACTTTAGTCTTGAACCAGAAAGCATGCCAATGTTGTAACCAGAATGATGGCTGCAAAACTTAGTGCTAAAGTGGGAACAGATCCTCATCCGACAAGCTTTCTAAAGATGTTGCTATGTGTACATGGATCTGCTTCAATTCCTTGTATAGTATGATTCAGATATAGGGCATCAATTGCAGCCATCTCTTAGGGTAGTTCCATTTTGTTTCTCCATCATTCTTCCATATGACTTAATGGTCAGAATTATGCACTCTTCTCAATCAGCAATTGTTTGTTTCTATTGGCTGACAGTAGACTTTTGGCAAAGTTTTAAACAAATAAACACATGTGATCTGGGCTTAAATTTCTTCTTGAAGAGATCGAGATACTGATGGTGATTCTTGTGGAATATTAACCTAAGAATGGCCAAGTTTGGACTGAAATGTCCATTTGTTAAAACATATGATGAAACAAAAGATCATGAAGTATAAACCAAGTTGTCTCATTATTACTTTATATGTTAGTTAAATTCAGGATGTTGTAATTTTGAACAACTAATAAATGTTTAATCATGAAGAGCATGGTTACATGAGTTCTACATTGACCATATAATTTTTCATGTCAAATATGATTTCTATGCTACAGAAGTAGTGAAAATGTGTCATATGGCTATTTGCACAGTTTGATGAGCAAAAGGATCAAGTTGCAGTTGAGCAAATTCTACGTGTAGTTTTTCTGGACCCAGAACGCACTTGTCCTGTAAGTAACCGAAACATAATATTGGATGACTTCATTTTCTGTTTGTTTTCTTGTCTGCATTTTTTTGTCCATTTTTCAAAACATCTTTCACAATCGCTGAATGACTATTGTGTTTTTCTCTTTCAAAGCACTGGAAAAACTTAAACGTCAACTGGCTGAGGCTGAGGCTGAGGCTGCACTTGAATCAAGCAAAAAGCCTCCAGAAGACATAGGACCATGTATAGTTGAGGAAGGACTTGTTATTGATGAATGGGTGAGGCACTCAACTTGATGAAATCCCCATCCCCCATCCCTTATACTCAGTTTGACTGACTAAAGTTAATGCTTCCTTGTATGTTTTCCAACATTCGATCCTATTCTGATTTTGCTTTATAGAAAGAACGGCGGGAAAGATACCTAGCTAGGCAGCAGGTTGAAGGCGTTGATTCTGCATACAAGTGAAATCTTTGTATTGCTTTGGGCCTTGAACACTTCATTCCATGAGCTGACGTTTCTGTTCAAGTCTTTATCATTTGTTACTTGGAGGGGACTCCAAAAAGAGGAAAAATGCAAGCATGTGCGTAGCTGTTAAATTTGAGCTGAATTCCATTCGATTTGAGATTTAAGTTAATGAGGTTTTTATTAGTAACAAAATTGTTGATTTTGGCTGAACGAAGTTATATTATCCTTACGTGTTGTTCATTATGGTTTTTCCGAATTACACTCAAGAAACTTGAATGTTTCTGATTTTAAAAGTCGTATAATTCAAAAATCTTTGCTCTGTCCATATCTTTCTCTCAGCAGGTAATTTTCAGCTTTAGATGGTGCTGTCAACAGTATGGAAATAGAAAAATAGAAAAGGTAAAGGAGCCAACCTACTGGACTGTTAATAATGAAAGAGAAAAAGGAGAACAAATGCCGAATCCTATTGCTTATTACTAAATTGCCAACATCATAGGCCAATTGCTCAAATGAAAAATTGAAAACTTATTACCATATAGTAGTAGCTATATCTCAACATTATTATCTCATCTGTTCCAGCAAACCAAGAATCTAACACTAGATATGCTGGCTATGGCATCGATCATTTTCTGCATATCATGGATCTACTCCACCAATGAACGGTTTCGAGAATAATTCGAGTTTGAATCCTGATTATAGTTAAAAAGATTTGGTTGGTTCTCACATGCAATGGCGAGTCACTTTTATTAGGATAATTTTTACTAATTGTGTTAATGGGTTGATAATACTTTATAAGTTGATAGCAAGTAAAGTGTTTTAAGTTGATCTGGTCACCGTAGAAGAACAATCTTTTTTCATTTTCTTAATTATATGAACTAACGGGAACTAGATTTGCCTCTTGAAACGATTTTGATCTTCTTACTAGTATAGTCCACTATGCTTATATTAACATTTCATATGGTGATTGTAATACGAAAATGACCTGTTTAGACTTGCAGGAATAGAATCATGTTCATGTTCATGGTTTAAATATATATATATATATATATATATCTTTAATGATGTTCATGGTTGTTTAATGGGTAAAGGTCTCGAGAGAGTACATAACTAACAAAAGCAGCCAGCTTCTTCACTTTTTATGATACTCTTCACCCTCCAAATTATTACATTGCTAATTAATGGCTCCCTCATACAACAATAATAACAAAATAGAATAAAAAGGGGAAGATCACATCTTACAAACCACTACTATAAAAAGAAATAGGGATAGAAAACGGACAAGGCAGTCAGTGGGAATTGGTTTCTATCACTTTCCAACTCACAGTAGAATTAACCCTAATTCAAGTAGCCGTACTTAACCAACCTGCTTACCAAGATTTTATTTGATTGGAAGGATGAAAAATGATGAAGGATAAAAAATTCGTTAAAATTCATAATCATTTTTTTAATTTTATAATTTAATTATTAAATTAACAAATTTTAAATATTTATTTCTTTCTATCATTACTACTAAATAAAGCCTAAAATTGATGGCACCAATCAAAAAGTTTTACTTATCACTCTACATTTATATATATTCATTAGAAAGGGCCTTGTCCTTGATAACTTACATTACATGTAAATTAAACTCTAAATCAAACTAAATATGAAAAAATATGTTATGGAACGATAATGTCTTCATAATAATTCTATATATTATTATCTCTTATTGATTAATTTTTTTTATTTATATTAACATTCAAATTCTGGTCAAAGTAAACTTTCCTTAATTGATTTTTTATTTATAAAAGCATAAAATCAATAGATTTCGCAAACGTAAATTAAATATTCTTATTACAATTTTAAGCTAAAACCATCTAGATAAGTGCATTAATACATCATTTATCGAATCGAAATCAATTAAATTAATTTAAGAATATAATATTATAGTTATTGATTTATTTACATTAAAATTATTTGTTTATTTTTTATGATTATAAAAAAAAATTCCCTTTCAAATATTTAAAGATATTAACTTGTAGAAAACGCATAAAAAAAGGAGTTAAAAATAAATGCAAGTAATTTGCTCATTTAAATTTTGTTGTTCTTTCTTTCTTTTTCTTTTTTTTTTTGGGGGGGGTGGGGGGGGTGGGGGGTTGGTGGTGATAATATATCCTTAGAACAAGAACAAGAGACGAGAGGATAGGATAAGATAGGATTGAGAGGTGCAATAATTGAGTAGACTAAAAAGCAGGTCACGACATGAGAGCAACACCTCTATTTGATGTATGAAATGGCCCCCAAGAGTAAAGAAACAGGTGAATAAAGCGATTATCATCTCTTTAGGATATTACCGATGACAAGAGCAGAACAGAAGCAACCAAAACAAAAACCACTCTTCACAAAAACAGCTTCCGGCTCCTCCGTTACTCCTCTATAAAATAATAATTGCTTTCTTCGTCTCTTTTTTTAAAAGAAGCTCCATACAAACATAAGCTAAAAGAGCCGAAAATGAGTTACCTGAACAGGTTGTGGATGGCGACGAGCATGGCTGTGGTGCTCGGCCACAGTGAAAACCAAGGTCCAAAATGGAATTCAGGTGTCAAGTTTCTCCAACCGGGACATAGGGGGCTCTTCGGTACGGAATCCTCTGACCTCCGACCCATTTCCGCTATGATCGGCTCCGATCTTTCCGGGATGTTGGGAAACCGTGATGCTGAAGCCGAGGAGTCGATCCGGCAAGTCATGTATCTTAATTGCTGGGGCCAAGGCTAAGAGGGTACTTTTTTTTATTTTCTTTTTACTTACACCTTGCCTTTTTAAACAAATTAAAAGAGCAAAAAACTCTGTAAATACGAATGCTGTACAGATGATGGAAAGGGTTTTGTTTGAAATGTTAATTTGGAATCCTTGCTTTTCAGGATCAAATGAAACAAATATTGTAAAATTTTCTCAATCAATTCGTGTATAATGATTATCTAGTCTTTTACTTTTCTTATTTATTGGGAGCATAATTATCTCATCATTATACCCTTCGACAATGAGATTAAGCATGCGGCTTTTTTTTTCTGAGTAATGAGAACGAAAAGAACACAGAAATTCACATAGTAAGTTTGAACAGCTATGGATAAGAGAAAAATGTCAAAGGAAAAGAAGTTTAATGTTTTGCAAGGTAACCCAAAACTAACGGATTGAAATTATTGTAAGAAGCCTTCGACAACAAATAACAAACATTGGCTAATTACATTAATATAGAAACCCAATTCCATTAATATAGAAAGCCAATTCCCCGATCAAATCGAGGGAAAAGTACTTGCGGCCAAAAAAAAAAAAGGAAAAACAAGGAAGGAGCCAGGGGAGAAGTACAAATAATATACCAAAGAGGAAATGAGAAAATGACCACCCAGAAATTACATGAATATTTACCAATCTTTGAGACTCAACTGATGCTGGAAGGTTAAAGAAAAGAAGAGAGAAGACAAAACTATATATCTGGCCCTAGAATGGGTCTCTGCGGATGCACTGGCACACATCAATGTATACTCTTTATGTTTTTATGTTAGAAAAAATAAATAAGAGAAAAAAAATAATATAAAAGAATTTTAACTTTAAAACGTGAAAAATTTTTTTTTTTAAAAAAAATTATATTTTTAAGATACAATAAAATTTTATACTCTTTAATAAAAAATAATAAAAATAATTATATTAAAAAATTTATTTATAATGAATGAATAAACAGATATAAATTTTTATTAAAATGATTATGATATTTTGTATAAGTATTATATTTATAAATAATAATTTATTTATATTTAAATAATTATGATTATTTATCATATGATAATTATTTTTATTTAAATATAATTATTTAAAATACGAATAAAATTAATATAAAAATTTATTTTATTCATTAATAATTAAATATTTCTATCCAAGAATGCATCTTATTTTAAACTAACATCACATTAAAGGCAAAGAAATCCTTCTTTGGTTTCCATGGTTTTGTGGTTTATCACTAGTGCCATATTTACTCACGAGATAAACCTCGATTGTTGAATGGAAGCCCAAAGTGAAGAACTACTTCAAAGTCTTGTCCTTAAGCTAATGTGTCAGGTCCTTTATCTTCCTACGCTAACATTCTTTACAATTAAATCTATATAACCATTAAGACAGAACAAATGCAAAAGATAATGTTGTAAACCCATGAAAGACCGGTTACATAATAATGTTGACAATTAGGAGAGAATTACAAACGGTTTATGAATCACAGATTGTTACCTCTCCAGAAGTCTCATTGTAGTCATCTCACCCAACACATCTTTGCAGTCACTAAGGAAAGCACGATACTCTTCAATGATTGATTGATATTCCGAATTACGATTCTCCAAAGCTGTATCATCTTCTAAAAGAAGCTGATTTATCTAAAATGTTGGGATACAAAATCCAGTATTAGAGATACGTAAAATACCAGCTACTGCTCCATGGTTTTCTTGCATCAAGGGAGAACTTGTTCATCTTAAAACAGTGCAATCCACAAGGCAAGTAATGAACAATATTAATTTCCTAAAAAGCAGAGGCATTTCAAAAGTTGCTTCCAAGTGTTTATGCCCATTATTCATCAAGTTCAGGACCAAAAATATAGCTAATATTATTATTCTTTGCTTGCTTTAGATATAGCAGGAAGAATATGAGGATGGTAAATGACCTAAAGAAAGAACAAAAAAAGAGCAAAAGAAGAAAATGGGTTGAAAATGATAAAAAAAAAATTATATTAGGCACTTATCTCATGTAGCCATTATCTATTATCGTTATAGAAATGAAGAAGAAACTCACTGAAACCAACATGATGCTGTAAGTATCATGTTACAACCTAGCATGTAGCCATTCTAACCTGTTGCCACTTACACATTTCTGTTTTATAAAGCCAGTAGCATATTGTAGAAGGCAAAGAAAGAAACCATGACCATAGCTAGGTTATATATCAACTAGTCATGCATGGGAAAAATTAAAACCTTATCCAGGTACAGTTCTGTTGGCCATGTGGATATCATCGTTATTTGGCATTTATCATCCTTTGCAAGGTTGTCAAGCTTCTGTAACAAGAAAGTTCTCAAAGCATCCTGTGACCAAAGCACATATTAGTGTGTCAACAAATGTCTAACCCAAATGCTTAGAATGTGTGTGTGACAATGGAGTAATGTCAACCTGCATATTATATTCATACTGAAAAACAGGAATCCATGGAAGCTTTTATTTTATTTTGATTTATGCATAGGCAACAGATTGAAGATAATTGTGAATTCAGCAGTTAAAACATAAATTGTTATCATACTAAGGAATAAAAATCACTCAACTAACCATATTTATACTTCTGCCACAAGCCCCTGAGAAAATTCCTGCCTCGAGTTGCAGCAAACATAATATGGTAAAAATAAAAATGAAAATCCACTTGATTAAGTTTGTAAAAAATCTTCACAAATATAAAATCATGTAAAGTTAGGTTCTTTGTCAAAAAAGGGTCAGAATGAGGAAATGAGATGACCATATTTATCATGGCTATCCAATAATTTCAATCTTTGAGTTGAGGGTCCATTCATAGTATAAGACTTATCGAATCTTTTAAATTGGTAGAATTCCTTTTCTTCAATAAATCATGTATTTTTCCAGGACAGTATTAAGAATCTCATAAAAAATGTGACAGTGGCTTACCAAACAAAGGCTAAGATGAAAAACTACACTTAGATTCAAAAACACATGGGCCTTGGGCAATTAATGAATAAAAAACTACTCAAAAAAGGGAAAAATTAAAACAGATAACAGCACTTGCGGTTCACTGACACTGATAAACTTCAAAGTGATCTTCTCAAATGATAATACATAGTTAATCTGCAAAACACCCATATCAGTTAAAAGTTTTTTCCTTTACAGGGACAATAGGGAAAAACACATGCATATACCCTGCCCTATGAGGATGTATAAGATTAACAAAGAATCAATGCTTTCAGGTAATAAACAAAATATATGAATAAAACAAAATCAAGAAAGAGGGAATTTACTAAAAAGTTTCTGCGCTGAGAAAGTCCCTAGAGGTAAATGCAGCTTCAGCCTGCATAAAACAATATTCCAGTCATAGACAATTAAGATGATAACAAGATGCTCTGCATACAAATCTGCAACATAGGGGAGGCAACTCATTTAAGCTTTGTTTTATGAAACTATACTACATGTTTATAACCAAAACAGCCATTACTTGACAAACAAGACGTAAGCTAGACAGGACCTGATCTGAATATAATTGGTCTCTGTGGAATGGGTCACAAGAATTAGCTAAGGCTGCAGCATACTCATTCATATCTAGATAGACCTTCCACATATCCAGTCCTTCGTCATTCACAGAAATCTACAAGATGTTTTCAATCCAGAAGCAAGAGAAAATTAGCCTTGTATAGTCAGGGTCAACACAGAAGATGAAGTCAATTGTAAGATACAAACCTGAAAGATAAAGAGTTCTGGTCATATGCATAGAACAACCCTGCAGTTGCATCACTACATAGTCTAATAATTCCACTTGAGTCTGATGCCTGATCAAACTGAAGTTCCTCTATGATTTGCTCGCTGATTCTGTTTACAACTGGTGTCGCATTTAATGAACACACAAGACATGACTGTAAAAGCAAAGAACATGGCAAAAGCAAATTAAACAATCCTACATAAACACTGAAAAATATGATCCCAAGATCCTTCAAAACATAAAATATGTGGGGCCCTTAGAACTAAAAGTGTCTCATATTCATTAGAAAACCCATTATCAGGATAGATGTAACTGAATTAAGAACATTGCCAATGGACACAACCAGCAGTAAAAATATAGCACAAGTGTTTATCACAACACACCTTAACCTTGTTCCCAATAAGAAGAAGAAATGAAATTCAGACACTGCCATGGAACTGGGTTTGACTACTTCTGCATCATTAGACAATTTTGTGTAGTCCAGGAGAGCCTTGTTCTCCACAAAGTTCTCATCGCCATTTCAAGAAATAGATCAAAATATCTGCAACAAGCGATAATAAGTAAACATTCATATCAAAGTCAATCATATATTAAACAAAGTCATCATAGTCATGAATTTTTTTTTTTTATTTTACACAACTTGTTATAAAATGTAATAATTATAATTATAATCATAAAAATTCTTATTTTATAACTTTTAAAGTAGTTTATAACACCTTATATCTTTTATTTATTTGAGAAAAAATTATGCATATTTTTTAAAAAATTAAAGTATTAATATTTGGTTTAATAGCAATTTTATAGTTAAGCCAAGTTGATATTTAATATTAACTCCAAGCAAACCAAATATTAACAAAGTGGAACATATTAAATGTTAAGTATTTATATTTAAAAATATTACAAACTTAAAATATAAGCACTTAGCATGCCCTCTATTCCTTTACTCTAGAACTCCTCCCGTGATGGCATGCTTGATATTTTGTATAAAAGCAAAATATTTTACATTTAAAAATATATAGATTATGTTATTTATTCCATCATTAAAAATTGAATCTACTTTAAATTTCTTAAGTTTTGGTTTTTAATCCTAATAGTATTGGATTTTAAAATGCACAATCTATTAAGTAATTTAATTTTTGGCACATTAATTGATTTAACATTTTTATCATAAATTATTTTTAAATTATTATACAATGAGTGACATTTTCAATTGTTATTTAATTGCACAAAAAAAAAAGAACTAATCTAATACACTAAAAAAATTAACAACAATACAAATGCCAAAACAAAAAAAATACTAAAATTTAAATAAAAAATTATGAATTAATAACTAATAAAATCAATATATAATCATTTAACTTTAATTATTTTTCATCTAAGTTATAAAAACCTTTATCCCTTCAATTTTCATCATACCTTTTACTCTAAAATTTCTCTATCTATGTTATCTCAAATTTGTAATTTTAAACTTCCGTTATAAAGCTTTACCTTTAAATTTTCCTTCAATTAATAAATTATTCCCTAAATTAGAAAAAAAAAAAACAAATTGTAAAGTAACAAAACCCCCTTCCTTATGTGTACTTCCACTTCACAGTTCACACACTCCACTGACCAAAATTTTCACTCTAGTCCTCCTTATCCCTTCCCCTGTCTCGCGACTCCTATTCCTTTTTCCTCTCTTCTCATTCTCACACTCTCATTGGTTTCTCACTTCTCATCTAATCTTTATACTTAGTTCTCTGCCTCCTCTTCCCCAACCCTAAACTCAACTTCCACAAGGCCTAAGCACCACAATCTTCCCCTCCCCTGAAGTGGCCTGCCATCCTCCCCTTCCCATGGCACCTCTGGGCTTTGGTTTTCCCATTTCAAATCCCAATTTCCACTTAGAAAACGCACTTCCACCCACCTAGCAGCTGGCAACCCCTAGCCACAGCAACCAGCCCCTTGTTCAAAGATTCAGAAGTTGGACGATGGAGATGAACCCTCACCGTCAAAGTCAGAGGCAGAGCTCTTAATCCCATTTAAGATTCAAGAGAAAATTGCCAAATTAAAAAAACAAGTGTAATTACTTGTGCTGAATTGCTTATTGTGTTGGATTGAGGCTGAATTTGTGTTTGATTAGAAATTAGGACTGTTTGTTTTTTGAGACTTTTTTCTCAGATGCCTGAATGACTTTTTCCTGGAAAACAGATTAGAGACGATAACAGCCCATTATTATCGCTATTCACCACTATGCCGATTTTCGCGGCCATTATATGCCGCGGCCAATGTGATTCAAACTCTCACCCAATAGTTTTCCAATAGTGGTGGCAGACGGTGGCATTACCGCAAAATAGCAGTCGTTATACCACTACTCCACCATTATTTAAATCCCTGACTGAAGCATCAAATATGAAATTTAATTGTGGAGAAGGCAAAATAGAAATTAAAAAATGCAAGAATGTAAACAAATGGTTGACAAAAGAAGAAAAATTAAGTATTTAAATTTTTACCTATGCTGTGCTCCAAATTTTAGGCCACCATGGTAGATACCTACTCTAGAAAGCCATGCAAAATGAATAGATCCTCTTTGCTTGATAAAGAAATGCAATGCACTGAATGTAAACATTGGCATCAAGGGATTTAAATAACGATTGCAGTCACGTTTTCGATTGCGTCGTGTTTATCGTATTTTCGAATATAACAGAAATCATTGCGGTCATTGCGATCATGAATTTTTTTTTTTACACAATTTATATAAAATGTAATAATTATAATTATAACTATAAAAACTCTTATTCAATGATTTTAAAAATAATTTATGACATTATATTTTTTATTTTTTTAAAAAACTATTCATAATTTTATTTAGATTATAAAAAGCATTTATATTTGATTTATTCACAAAAAAATTTATTAAATTTCATATAAAAATTATAAATTAATATATAATACAATCAAAATATAATATTTAATTTTAATTAATTTTTGTCTAACTTATACGAAAAAATTTATCAAAAATTTCATCTAAAATCTCTATATATATTATATTAAATTATTAATCCCTTAATTTTTTAAATTATAAACCTTCAATCTCTCTAATTAGATTTTATCTAAAAAAATTTCAAAAATTAAAAATTTTCAAACTTTTATTTTAATAAAATTGTCAAACCTATATTTTTTATTTTTTAGTTTTTAATCTTAGTAAAAGTAATAGATTATAAAATGCTAAATTTATTAAATAATTTAATCTTTTTGATACATTAATTGATATAAATTTTTTTGTCACAAATAACTTTCAATAATTATATAATAAAAACAATCTTCAATAATTACATAAAAATAACAAGAATTAATCTAATATCAAAAAAATTGACAACAATAAAATATCAAAACAACAAAAAAATATTAAAATTCAAATACAAAATTATAAATTAATATATAACACAATCAAAATATAATACTTAATTTTAATTATTGTTCATCTAACTTATACAAAAAAATTTATAAAATTTTTCATCTAAAATCTCTATATATATTATATTAAATTATTAATCTCTTATTTTTTTAATTATAAATTTTTAAAATCTCTAATTAAATTTTATCTAAAAAAATTTTAAAAATTAATTACAAAATTAAATAAAAAATTCAACTCCCACCCCCCTACACCCCACCCAATCCCTCCTCATCCCACCCAATCACGTGCTTGCCTTAATGCCCTTCAAATGTTTAATTGTACCAGGACGGCAGAACCATCTAGAACCAGCTTCTGTTCATCTTCTTCACGTGTCCAAAGCTTTGTTTTTTAGAAATTTCTTCTTCTTTTTTTTTTTTCATCTCTCATTTTCTCTCGCATCTTTTCATCATTATCACTTACCCAGTACACCTCGCTCGTCTCTCTCAAGTCTCAAACTCTCACAACAGATCATTTTACAAAAATTTTACAAAAAAAAGTAATTTAACTTTCTTTTCTTACCTTATTTGATCTTGAATGTTGATTGAAAACTTGATGCTGATTTGAATTTGGATGCCGAAATGCTGAACGGTTGAAACTTGAAATTTTGTTTTTTTCTCGAACTATTAGATTCGTGTATTAGATCCGTGTAGGAAAACGAAATAGCGGCAATAACGGTCCGTTATTGCCGCTATTCTTCGTTAAGCCATTATTTGCGGCTGTTACACATTGTTTTTGTCGTGAATGAATTTCACAACCGTGTTTTGTCCAATAGCGGTGGCGGGTGGTGACGCTACCGCTATTTTGCGGCCGCTATTCCACTTTTAAACTGCTATTTGAATCCTTGGTGGCAGCAGCAAATTCTCATATTCAAAACACAAAGTAACTTTATATAATGTATATTTTCTTAGGGCAGGTAGTAATGCTCAACCATTAACCAAAAATGATTGTGCTAATCAGAAAGAATAAGCTTAACATGCTATTAAATATGTTCTGCAAACACAAGATTTCTTCTCTCTTATAAGTAGTTCAAACAATAAAATAATATTATCATGAAAAAGAACACTTGCCTGTTTAGTGTTTCACCAGGAAGTCCCATGAAATGCACAGCACGATCCAAGTAGCTAACAAAAACAGTCTAGCAATGCAAAATTAATTAAATAAATAAAGAGTAGATTCCCACGATATAATGCACTAAACTAGATAGAAGGCTATGCAAATCATTGGAAGAAAACCTCAAAGTGAGAACAAATTTAGGAAAAAAAGGAAAAATTATGCATATAGTAGCCACTTAGACGAGAATTTTGTTGCACTTAGATTGCCAAAAAAAAGAAAAACAGACGCATCTAAGTAATTGTTTAGGAAGAAACATAATTAGCAATAAAACTAGCTCTCTAACAGCATCCTACCAATTAATAAAAGAATAGAGAGGGCAAAAGGAACCTCCATCTATAAATAGGAAAAGCTGCAGAATAACAGCCAACTACCACAGGGAACATATTAACGTGTTCCTTTATAGCCAATCACTTTAAGAACCCCAAAACAGGGGAAACAGGCATTGGAGCTTAGCTTACCTCTAGTGATCTGATTCCTGTGTAAGAATAGTCTTGTGGGAATAAAAGCCATCACATAATATCTAGTTCCATTGCTTGAGATAGCTGTTTCCATCTGGACAAAGCCACAATGTCAGTTTAAGAAGAAAGAAGTTTATATGAATGCCAGTACCCTGGCTGTTTCCTGAATGAACGATTCCTCCAACATTATCAACAGATGACAACCCATCTTAAGTATACCCTATTCCAACTAGTTCATCATAAATTGTCAAGCAGAAAACAATACTGTCATCCAAACCAACAGAAGATTTAAGATGCACTGTGAATTACAAATCTACCCATCCAAAGAAGACTCTTCTTCTTCTTCTTTTTTATTTTCAGCTAAAGAAAGAGGATTGTCTAGTTGCTTTCACAAGGCAATATTCAAGTGGAACATTTACAACAGTACAAAGGGTCACCAAGAAAAGAAGAAACAACAGGTAATTTAAAGCCCATTCCCAAAAGAAAGATGCAAAAAAGAGTACCTGCAAACCCATGATAGCTTCCGGAAGTTCTGCTAATTCAAATAAGGCTTTGTATACTCCCTTTTGTCCCTTCTTGTCTACAGCAATTTCATACAGTTGGCCATTGTCTGTACTGAGAATGACTTCCTGTGTAAAAGTTGCATTGAAAACAATTAAGAGCATAGCAGAATCAATATGCACAAAGCATGGTCTTATCAATAAGCAACAGCCCAGAAATAAAATTACCTTTAGTGATCTGTTGCCTATTCCAGGCAACAGCATTGACAACTAAACCTTTCAATCTGCTTAATATACGTGGCTTGGTCCACTTTGCATGGGTGTAGAATGCATCAGCGCCTCCGCCGCCCACAATAGTAGTAAATACAATGGCCACCCCCAGGATTAACAAAGACTCTATGAATCGACTGCTCCCCAGGTCAGCCCGCAGAGAGATCAATTTCTAAAATTCTAAATGGAAAAGCAAAATTACACATGCTTCCATCATATATAATGACTACAAATCAGTTGTTTATCTCTAACCGCCCATGACTCAACTTGATACCATAAATACAAAGCTCAATCAAATACATATCAATGAGTTCAAATTCAATTCAATTTTAAGGTAATTAACTTAACCAACAAGGATTAAGAATCTGATTTAAACCTAGTGTGGCATTTCGAAAATTGGCACCGTATTTAGCTAAGAACTAAAAATTTATACGATTAATTTCAAATTATAATATTGAAAATTCATTAATCAAGAAAAAGAGAAATGAAGTAAAGCAAAAGAGGTTAAAGGTAAAAGAAGATATCAGAAGCATCAGCAACCCAAAAATCATGTCTGATAACCCAACTTTTACTTGTTCCCAACACAATCACATCATTTCCAGCTGCCATACACGTAATCATGCCGCGGCCTTTGGCCTTATATCTCTCTAGAAGATCTACTGCGAACACTTGTCTCCCTTGATCCATCCTTCACCAAAAGCAATTAAGTTTCCCATTTCTGAAACGTAACAAGAATTCTTTACTTTAAAAAAGTTCAAACTAAAGAAAGAAAGAAAATGAGAAAAAAATCTTCCAAAATGCAAATAGAGATGATGTTAGGAAGATCGCTCAACTGAACGGCAAGTAAATCACAGAAATGCTAATACTTTAAAATTCAATGAGTACCTGAATGTAGACAAGATCAACCGGGAAAATCGCCGCCGGGTATTTAAACAGTTACTCATATTTCTTTCGTATTTCAAAGAAAGAGAATCCAACTGACAGCCAAAAAAATAAAATTAAATTAAAGTTAAAAATTAAAGTAGAACGTCGCCTTTTGAATTTATTTTTCCCAATCTCCTTAAAACGCTTCGTTTTAGTGAAGCCCGGATCCGAGCCGTCATGGGCAAAGGAGCGGCCCATAGAGGAGAAAGAAAGAAGCGCGCCCTGTGGACCCGTAAAAAGTTAATTATGGACAAAATCGCACTTAAACACCGTAAGAATTTGTCAAATACAAGCGAATCTCAATTTCCCTTTTTTTTTTTCTTTTCACCAGTTAAATCATTATTAAATAAAATCGGAGCGTCTGTAGGGGCCGTTTATGATCTAACGGCTTAGATTTCACCAACACCTCAACGTCTACTTTTGCGCAACGGTCATATATCTGTCTCAAGAAAATGAAATTCCCTTCGATACATTTACCTCTTTTTCACTTACTAAAATCCTCCGAAATAACATCCAATTTTTCGTATTTCTCTTAACACTGAAATTTGCTTGTGCTTTTGTTCTTTTGGAGCAATTCTTGATTCAAAGTGTACAGAGATGAGTATTCTTCAATACCCAGATTCGTTCAATGTGCCAGAGCTTCAGGTTTGGAGCAATGCGGCTTTTGACAAAGGAGAGTCTGAAGATACAAGCGCCATCAAGGTTTCTTGGGCTAATCATGAATCTGGGTCGGTGAATCAGTCACTAGAATCTGAAGGTAGTAAAGAAAATCGGAGTGCTCTTTGGCTAAAATCCCCCGTTTCATTCAAATCTACTTCGTCTATTGTCAAGCCTCTTTGTTCTAAGAATGTTACAGGAAACTCCAAAGAACAGATGCTGAAGAGTGGTTTTATTGAGCCATTGTCAGCGAAACCGAAGAATGGAGTTGGGAAAGGAGAAGACAAAAAGCGTGATGAGAAAAAGATTGATATGGAGATGGAAGAGATTGAGAAGGAGATCACTCGTTTGTCATCGAAACTTGAATCCCTTCGGCTCGAAAAAGCTGAATACAACGCCAAAAGTATTGCGATGAGAGGAAGAATAGTGCCTGCTAAATTCATGGAGCAAAAACAGAGCATAAAGATTTTTGAGACGACAAAAAAGATTGAAGATCCTCTGTTTTCAAGTGCTAAAACAAAATTGAACCCAAGGGGAGTTAGTTTAGGTCCAACGGAGATTTTCTATGCAATGAAAACGAGACAATTAAAACAGGACATCACCACCCCTATTCAGTCAATACAGAGTCGCCGCAAATCCTGTTTCTTTAAGCTCCAAGACGTTGATGAAGGGAAGGTTACAAGAGAGAGAGGCAAGAGCTTGAGTCTTAGCCCAAAATCACGTACAACAGCGTCCAAGATTCATCCTCCTAAGACAGCAGCAACCACGGTAGGGTCTAAAAGGGCTGTGAAGAAAGAAGACGGGGTTCTTGCTACAATTCAGCCAAAAAGGCTCTTCAAAGAGGTAGAAAAATCAGTAACAGCAAAGAAACAATTGAAACCTGGAAGGGTGGTCGCGAGCCGGTACAATCAGATTGCCAACCAAAGCGATGCTCAAAAACGGTCTTTACCAGAAAATGAGGGGGAGGAGAGTAACAGGCATGACAAGAGGCGTGTTTCCCGTGAACAAATAGTGGATTCCTGCAAGAATCGAAAGAGTGAGAGCAGAGTGAAGAAGAAGTGGGAAATTCCTAGTGAAGTGATAGTTTTCAAGGGAGAAATGGAAGAAGAATCTCCGCAGTCAGTTAATAAGTTCAACAATGTGCTACCAAAGATCAGGACTGTAAGATTTTGGGCTGAAAGTCCTCGTGATTCAGGTGCGGCGAAAAGAGTGGCTGAATTGATGGGAAGGAAATCGTATTTTTGTATGGAGGAGGAAGCAGAGGACTCTGTTTGTCAGGCTCTGAGTTTTGCAGTAGGGGATGGAGAGTAAGATTGATCATATTTCTTAATTTTTTTCTTCATCCTTTTTTTTTTTTTTAATAAAGCTATAGTGTTTGGGGTTTCGGGTTGTGAACCATAACTCTTGTTATGGGTTAAGAATGGTTTTATGTTCGCTTATGCTTATCATATATGTAAAGTGACTGATTAAGCTTTTATTGTCTCTACTGTCTCTTGCTTCTTGTGAAGATATGTTTTTTTTTTTTTTTTCATTCTTTGTAAATATAATAATATAAATATAATATAATAATTCTTTTCAAATTGACAACGATTGAATCAGTTGGCTGCACTAATTTCATGTCCGGTAATGGTTCCGATATCTGTCTTCATCGCTTAACATGATGTCTTCCCTGCAAAATAAGTAGTATTTTTGGTGTTGGAATCCAGAAATTCATGTTATATTCAGCATGATTTACGTTTTCTCTAAAGGAGCTGGATATTTTACTTTTTCTTTGCTGCTTTCTATCCAAGTTACTAAAGAAACCAATATTCATTTTGAAATTTGACTGTGTTCCCTGAAAAATCTGATCTTGGTCAATCAATTAGCTATATTGATTCGCAATTAGTTTCCACAAATCTTTAGTTTCAACAGAAAGATTTCATATATTGTGTCAAGTGTCAGGGAATGAAAAAGTTGCTGCAAAGAACATAGGATGCAGAAGACAGAAAAACGATGCTGTGTGCAGCTATGCTCCAGTCTGAAAATATTACAAGAATGTTTGTTATGAAATTAAGGAACATGTAAGCCCTTGTCTTCTGATACCGATGATTATGTTGCGACGCCATTGCCACAATGACGAAGCAAATTGTTGAAGTTCACTTGTAATTCTATCACACTCTGTCGAGCCATTGATTTCGTCCCCAGTATCATGTGCTAGAACTTGGAGATTTGTTTCGGGATGCCATCATTTGTATGGGACCTGTTAACCAAAATTTAGTCTCTATTTGGGTAAACATTAGTGAAGAAAATGAAAGGAAAGAAAAGCAAAGATTTTTTGCAGGAAAGAAAAAAAATTCTAACCATCATAATTTGTTTAAGATTTTTTCACATGAATAACTTAGAAATTAATTGTTTAAGAAAAAGAAAACTCAATAAAAGAGATGGATTTTTATTAATCCATAAAAATCTGTATGTTTAGAATTATTTTCATTTATTTATATTTTTAAAAATTAATTTTAATTAGAAAATTTAAGAATCTAAATATGTATTAGTAAATAAAATTAATTATAAACTTATATTAGTATTTTCTTACAAATTTAACAAGCTCTATTAATATAAACATAATTTCTCCAATTATATTTGTTTTTTCATGAACATGTTTTTCTTTTTTTTCTCAAATTTATGAAATAATAATAAAATATAAAAAAATAAGGTTCCAGCATACATTAAAAAAATAAAGGATATAAGAACATAAAATAAACAGCGAAACTGGTTTAGGTGTGATAAAAAAATTAAATATTAATACAACTTGTCAAGTTTATAATATATTTTTTGAAAATTGAAGAAAACAATAATGACATATATGTCATTTTATATTTAAAAAATTTTATTTATTTCCTTTTCTTAACTTTTTCTACATTGGAATAATTAGCAAGTGCAGTATCTAAGGAAAAGGAGGCAGGCGCAATCCCCCTTCCTCTTCTTTATTTTAAAATGAATAATATCAAAACAGAATAAAGGTTGCACCTTTTCTTCGACTTTCCTTTCCTTTCCCTCTCTCCCGACTCAATCCAAACATAGACATAAAGTTTTGTTTTATAACCCAAAATGAAAAGATAAAACTTTTTATATTTCAATTTACCAATGTTAAAGAGTGAAGGCGGACATGTCAATTTCCATTCACCGAACACTAAGCCTTAGCATTAAACCTTAGTGACGCCTCAATATCTTGGATGCCAAAAAAATGATAATCTTTATGCTTAAAGTCATAGAGTTTGAAAGCTACAAATTTATCTTAAATATCAATTTTATATATACCCAATGAAAAATTTTACATTTTACCCAAGTAAGGATGGAATTGAATATTATATTAATGAAATAAGAATAAAGATAGAGATGGAAATAAGTGTGATTTAAATTTTTTTTATTAATTATGGGATAAAGATAGATAATATAGTATTCATTCTAACCTGTATTCATATATTTTATATATTTAGTAAAATAAAATTTTACTTAAAAATATAAATTATTATTTTAAATTAATTAAAAATAATATATTTTTATATAAAAATATATTATATATATTTATAAAAATATTACATAAATATGTAAGATAAAAATACAAAAATAAATTTTATTTTTATTTTAAAAAAACATCGAGTACGAAAATTATTTATATTTACGAGATGTAGACAAAAATAAATTTAAAATATTTGTTAAGTATAAATATATGGATGAGAATGAGAATAAGGAATACTTTACTCACCTCATATCTTATCCATTGGCAACCTTAAAAGTATCCATGAGCACCTCTTTTTTATTTTTTTGTTTTTTTAAATGTTTTTTTATTTTTTTTTGTTTTTTGCTTTATTTTTATTAGATTTTTTTCATTTTCCTTTCTGTTGTTTTTTATTTTTGTATTGTTTATTTAATTTATTTTTATTTTTTAATCATTTTTATAATAAATTATATGAAAAAATTAATAAAAATAAAAATAACAAAATAATCATACCAACGGATTTCGAGTTACTTCTATCAAATATGTTTATTCTTAAAATTTTGAGATCAAGTTGAGCATTTTTTTTTTTAAATAAGGGTTGGGTTAGAAATAGATTTATTATTTAATTTTTTATATAAATATTATATTAATAAAATTATTATTTTAATTTAATAAATTTATGCTCATCTGACTTTAATTTTTAAAAATTTTTTTAATCAGATAAATTTTATTAGCAAAAAAGTCAATCAAAATATAGATGATAAAATAACTCATATTTAATGAGTTTAACGTGTTTTTTTTTTTTGTTAAAGTTCGGGATGAAATTGAACTTTCTTTTAAAATTGGTTTTAGGTTGGATATTGGTTTGAGATGTCAGATCATTATCTCCTTCCTTCTAGCCTTTCCTTTCTCTTTCTACCTACTGTGCTTTTGTCAAAAATCTCATGAAGAGAAAGGATTGAAGAAACCCTTGATGTAATGGATTGAACTGAGAGATAAGGTTGATGTTTTATTCTCAAGGAAATTTATCAAACAATGAAGATTTATGAGATATTATATATCCTAGGCATTCCCTTTTCCGGTTTCAAATGGTATCTAAATATTTGTTGAAATTCTTGTTGATTAAAACTTAGATCCGAGAACTCAACTATCCATTACCTTTGTTTTAAAGAGAAGTATTTTATTAAGGAATTATGGAGTGTTTTTAAAATTAGAGAGTTTATTTGGAAATAGAAGTTGAGTTTTGTGGCTGAATGAGAGGCTAAAAATACTAATTCTTTAATAGTAATTTCAGAGTTAGAGCAAGAAGAAGTGCCATCTTGGGGCTTGTTGATAATGGTATGGCGATCTCAGAGCATAAAACCGTTAAAAGGCATTGGATTCCGATTTCACCAAAGAACACTTTGCAGCTGATTGGTGGCATAAGCAGGTGGTAACTAACTTGAAAGCCAGATTGTTGTCTGTGCGTGAAGATGGTGATTTGGAGATTCTCTTTGCTATGGAAGAACTCAAAGTTGCTATTTGGGATGGTGAAGGTCCAAAAGTGCCTGACCTTTTAACTTCAATTTTTATAGAAGAACTTGGGGAGTTTTGAAGGTTTATCTCCTAGATTGCTTAATGAAATTTCATAAAACTGATTCCAGAAGATTTAGCAAAAGCAAGAGTCGATATTAGAGTTGAGATGTTCATGGCTTGGTGGTTAACAGTTCTCGTTTGCAAGTTTGTTTCTGATTTTGCTTGGTAATGTCCAATCTCTGTATTTTCTCTGTGTTTCCTTGTTGATGGTTGAGAATCTCTCCGAGGCATTGGCCTCCTGTTGTGATTTTTCTTTTTATTCATTATTAAAATCCTAACTCTGCAAAAAAAAAAAATCAATATTTTTTTTAATTTTTATATAAATTAATAATGATAAAGATGATGTGGCATGTTAACATGTCTAAAACACCTTAATTTGGAAAATAAGATTAAAATTATCCTATTTTAAGAATAAAATTTTTTAATATTTTCGTTTGAGAAAAAACTCCACATCAATTATTTATTTATTTATTCATTAAAATTTTGTCCTTTTCCCTTGCAACATACCTAGCCAGCCATTATAACTGATTTTCCGTTCTTTCTTCTTTTCTTTTCGTGTCAAATACCTAATCTTTATTCACGTGTTTTGCCATCACCTCTAGTTATCTGCTTAGGACTCTGAAGTGAACCGATCACCTCTACCAAATACTCAACCCATTTACTACCCGTTAAAAACGAGTACCTTTTACAGATGATTTAACCCTCTCTTCTGCTCCAAAGAAAAATCAAGGAAGGTTTCTAAAATGGGAAGTAGAGGTTCTTCATTTCAAGCCGACGCCGATCGTCGATACAATTACCATGCTTACCAGCTTTTACCATTATTGCTAATAAATGGGAGGTAGGCGATGGTTCTCTTTTGTTCTTTATTCTCTTTGTTTATTCCTTCTTTTCGTTCTTTCTTTTCTTATTTTTATTTCTCACCCACCAGAGATTCATTCGATAATAATAATAATAATAATAATAAGATCCTCGATTATTGTCAGAGGCCTATCAAGTCTCTCATTTTTCCCATCATCCTCCATTTTTTCTCATCAGATTTTTTATTTAATTAATTTGCTACATTTCCTTATTTACTTTCTGAATTTAAAGTGTTTAAAGCATTTTTGTATTAGTTTCCCTTCCTGTTTGAATAGTTTTTAATTTAGATTATAAATTTGGAACATATCATTGGGTTTGGAATTCTTTGGTTAGTTTGAAGTGGGTTTTTTTGTTTATTTAAATTAAGCTTTAAAAAAATGTGAAGTTTCTAGTTTTTAAGAACGGTGTAGCTACACTTATAGTTATGAAATAATGCATGTGGTTGATTAGTGAAGTGGCTTAAGATGTTGAAGTAAAGCTAAAATAGAAAAAAAAAAAAATCTGTTATGAAAATAAATGTTGGGAGGATAAAATTAGGAACCTAAAAGTTAGGAACTAGATTTTATGGAGATTAATATAACCTTGTGTTAGTTATGAGTTTGGTTGTTGGCTCTTGATTATGATTAGTTCTTATGTATGAGAGTTTTCATTGAAATGTTTTGGTTTGGATGGGCAGAATAACAAATATATTTTTTTGGGGAGGTAGTTTAGTTTAGTGTTTTTTTTTTTTTTTTTTTTTTTTTTTTTTCCTATGGAAGAGAAGTCTACTTTGGTCTTTACCTTTTTTATTGAGACTTGGCCTTGCTGGAAAGATTAGGGATAGAATATATGATGTGAGCATGTGAAGTCTTAAATTAAATGTATGTGAATTAGTCAATCTCCTATTTAAATTATTTGAATTTTATAGATTTTATGTTGATGATTTCAAAAGTTTGAAATCCTGATCTTTAGTAATTTTGAGTTAAAAAAATGATCTTAAATCCTTATTGTAATTGCTTTCAATTAGTAACTACTCTAATTTTCACTTTACTATTATATGATAATTTGTTATTTATTAATTTTTTTTTCTATTCAGGTGGTAAAGTTTCCACTCAGGTTGAATCCAGCAGAAATCAAAGTAAAAATTAAACTAAATGTTAGATATTACTCTATTGCATCATAAATTTTAATTGATAAATAAAAATCCACTTCATTCTTATAACGCAAAGTTTTCCAATAAAGCAACAATAATGGATATTGATCCTTCTATTGAATGGTTCTATACTGCTTGCAATTAGTGCTTGAGAACTTCGCCAGGTGGTGGATCATGGAGAAAAAATATCTTAGTTCATGTAAACTCCTAGCAAATCTATCTACTCGAAACACACATTATTAATTTTACTCATTAGTTTTAACTGTCTTTAGACATTTATGATAGATTTTTTATGAGAGTTGATATCATCAGTTGATTTTTATGAATTAAAAAAAAAATTGAAAAGTGAATATATGAGATGATTCAACAAAAGATATTCCATATCATTATTTATCGTGATTGTGTGAAGATCTGTTGAATATGTATTCAATCCAAACTATTCTACTATATCTTTCCCTTAAACTAAATTTAGCTCTTATGCTCCTTCAATGTCTTAGGATTTTAACTCTTGATTGTATTGTTTCCTTTTGTTGTCACAAATTTTGTACAAACATGGTTAGCTTTTCTATGTTTTCTATTGCTAATTATATATTTATTTCTTTTTGAGTATTTTATTATACCTGCTTTGACTATTTAAAAAAAACTGCACCTACAGTATAGGGCGGTTATAACACTAGTAATAATAATAAGTAGAGGGAAAGAAAACTGGAGATATTTGCTTATTGATTCCTTTTGAAATTTCAATGATAGCTACTTCAAGGTGCTTCAAGCTTCTTCTTTAATGCAGAGGCTCTTCCAATTTCTATTCCTGTTCAATTCGGGTAACAATAGTGCATTATTTTCACCATGTAAGTCAAAATGCATCCTTTTTCCTTTAAACGCCAGCAAATACTTAATTTAAAAACTGAATGCAAGATGTTTTATTTCTTTTTTGAAACAGGCTTTCTAGAAATTGTTTGTTATTACTAGATGTGTTAGAAAACATGTGATTTGGATATTAATCTTATATTTTAGTATATTTTTAGCGTGTAATTGATGGTCATGCTTCTACTTCCAGAATTATTTCACGTCCATCCCAGTTGGATTCCCTTGCATATGCCCTATTGTGAATAAAATCATCGGAAATCCGGATGAAGAGGAAGTGAGAGATGAAGTCTTGAATCAAATTCTCAATACCTATGAATACATGCCAAAGTTGAGCGGGGAAAGTGTAGTGCTTATGTTCATAAGCTGTGCAAAGCTGGAAATCTTTCTATGGCTATTAGATAACTGCAATCTTTGTGAGATCAAATATCTTTATCCCCAATGCATATGATACCCTTTTGGCTGCAGCTGCTGAAACGAATGAGATTGACCTTTTGTTTCAGATAGTCAAAGATGTATTGGTGTTTCGTGGACCCTTGAGCTCAGCATGTTATCTTTACTTTGCAAGGTCTTTTGCTAATACTAATGACCATACAACATTGATTAGATATGTCAAACAAGTACCATTGTTAGCTTTCACGAGCAGCACGATAGTTATAAACCAGATCATCTTTGCTTTCGCTGAATGTAGGAAGATAAAAAAGGCTGTTTTGATATTTAATTAGATTAATAGTTTCAGATTCAAGCCTAAAGTGATAACATATAATACTATTTTGAATATCTTAGGTCATGCTAGTCAGGTGGGTGAAATGGTCCATGAGTTTGGCTCCATGAAGGAAGCTGACCTTGTTCCAGAATTCATTACTTATGATACATTACCAAACAATTTAAGGAAGGTTGGGAGGTTGGATATTGGTTAGTGTTTTTCAAAGAAATGAGTGATAGTGGAGTTGAGCTAGATTTGCTTACTTATAGAGCAATGTTGAGACTTTTGGCCGATCAGGGAACACTGAGGAAGCATTAAGTCTCTTTAATGAGATGAAGCAGAGGAAGATCCGTCCATCAATCTACATATATCGGTCCCTAATTGACATTTGGAAGGTAGGGAAGGTGGATTTAGGAAGTCTTTTCAGAGGAGATGAATTCATTTCTTTAAGACTTAGCTGGTCTAGAGGATTTTAATCGAAAACGTTGGTAGTTCCATAATTGGTTCGGGAATTGAAGTTTCGAAGAATATTTTAATGTCATCTTGAGTACTTCAATTTGGCTCTAATCAGAATAGGGATGTGTTATGGATGTTCCTTCATGCATTGCTACTGATATTGCTTTGTGTATTATGTTATCCACCTTTTCTTTTTGTACCTTTGTTTAATGATATGTGGTTACTGTAAATATTTGATTATGGTTAGTAATATTTTATTCTTTTAAATTTTTTGTCAGAACAAGTAATAAAATTGTTTCGGTGAAAGTTATTTTACAAAATAGCTATTTTCATAGAATAGCTATTCATGGAATAATTATTCAAGAGACAATTCTTTCATGGAACAACACCAATACATTTATTGAAAACTCTTTCACCAAAAGTTACTTCACTAAGACTTATTTCACAAAAAACGTTTTACTGAATGAAAAAATGAAAATAACTCTGAAATATGATAAAATTTTGGGGTTAATTTCACTATTAAGATGCTTTAGAATATTTGACTTGATGAATCAAATATGAATATAGTTAAGAAGTCTCATTTTAACCATTTTTTGAAGTATGAGTGCTTCTCTCTTTCAGGACAAACATGAACCTCTATGTTTGTAGACATTAATTATTATTATTATTATTATTATTATTATTATTATTATCATTTTTTTTTCTTTTTTTCTCTCTTCCTTTTTTTTTTTTTCTAATTTATTCTCTGCCAAAGGTCTTGGTGCATTAAATGCATCCTTCTCAAAAGTCCAAAATTCTAGCCATTGCCAGCTATCGGTAACCACCTAATACCCTTGTCTAACTTAGCAACGAGGAATCTTGTTATCGAAAAATCGTTTACGTTGAAAAAGTAATAAAATTTTTGAAAATCTAGAATATTAATCCCATAAATTTTGGGATTTGCATCCTAAAAAAGTCTTATAAATAGAGCTATCTTTTTGCACAAAAAAAAAGGAACCCACACACAGAAATGAAGAAAAAAATCCACAAAAAAGGGGAAAACCTTGACAAAAAAAATAGAAAAGAAAAAACCTTGCAAAAAAAAAGTTTTGCCAAAAAAAAAAATCTTTCTGTTAAAACCCAAATAGAAAAATGCAATCCCTCTAGTGAAAGAACCCATCATTGGCCTACAAAAAAAATCAATAGAACAAAAAAAAAGGTTTTTGAATCGAAAGGTTTCAAGACAAATTTAAAGAGATTGGAATGCTTTCGGTAAAAAGGGGGTCAGATCTGGAGAGAGGAGGTTGAAGAGAGACCTTGGGTGTTTTTCTAGGCTTTTCTAGCAACCAACATGGTGGATAGCGAACACTAATGGTGAGGAGCACGATAGTTTTCGTGGTGGATGACGATCGACCTTGGGGACTATTGAAAGAAAAAAGGAAAGAGCTTTTAGAGTTTTTTTTCTTTTTTTTTGAAAAAAGGAGAAAATTGAAGTAAGACAAAAGTTCATATATAAGCAAACAAGGATCAAAATGACGTTGCTTAGGCCTAAAGGGATTTGCGCATCGACTCGACGATCTGACTTAAGGTCCGCACAACTAACCCACAACCCAGCTCCCTTTTGACCTCTAATCGGTCTAGTTGAACTGGCTTAGACCAACATTGATAGGTTCAGTTCAAGTAAACAAATTTTTTTGAATTTTCTTATTTATTTATTTTTTATATATTTTTTTATCATTAATATTTGTACATGTTAAAATGTTTAAGTTTGCTAAAATAATTTTTGTTATTTTTATGATAATAATTAGTAAAAAAATGAAAACAATAAAAATAATAATGAAATATGTAGTTAAATTTTTGGATAATTTCATTAAATTTTAAAATAAATCTTACAAAATAATGATAAAAAAATTAATAATTAATGACTATGATACCAATAATAAAAAAATGATTTCTAACATTTGATAAATTTTTAATTAAAAATAAAAAATAGTAAAAATAACCAAAAAATAATTAAAATAAACAATAAAAAATTAGTAAAAATGTAAGAAAAAAGAATTTTTATCTGATGATGAAATTCAAAAGTATTTTAAGTAATGATACTACGAAATCTGTAGGTGAGAAAAAAATTTTTAAATACTACCAATGTATTAGAATATTTATAAAAAATTTTAAATACAATAAAAAATTTTCTTTTTTGCTATTAAATAAAATAAAAAATTAACTAATTTATTAAAATAAACTAGCAAAAAGTGAGGAAAAAGGAAATTTTATTTGATGATGAGATTTTAAAAGTATTTCGAGAAATGATGCTTTATGAAATCTCTAGGTGAGAAGATTTTTTTATAAAATATTAACAATATATTAGAGTATTTATAGAAAATTTACAATATGATAAAATTCTTCTTTTCTTCAAAAAAATCTAATAAAAAAACCAATAAATTTTTAAAAATAAAATAAAATGTGTGCATCAAAATGTTGTCATTTGCATTGCATACATGTGTTTATTTTTACAAAAAGTAAATATGAACCCCTGATGATAAAATTTTAAGGTATTTCAAAAAACGATGCCTAAAAAATCTCTAGGTGAAAAAGAGTTATTGTAATGTTACCAATGTATTAAACATTTTAAGAATTATTTCAATAAAAAGGTTTAATTTATTTTTCTCGAATAAAAATGGAACAATAAATATGAATAAAGATAAAAGGAAAAAAATAAAATTTCAATAAATAAAAAAGTCAAGGAAATTACTTTTTAAACATCGAAACTAAGATTGTTTTTGTCAAGATTAATGGATAATATGTAATTAATTAGTACTATTTTAAACGGGTGCTGTAGGGGTGTTAATCATTTCTCATACGTAACCGACTCTTGAACCCAAACTGATTGCCAATTACAGACCCTAAAATTATCTTTTTAATAAATTTTAAGATTTATTAAAAAAATAAATTTTAATAGGCGATCAATCGTACCTAGCTAAAAAAAATTAATGGCGAGTCTTTTTATTTATTTTAATTTCAAATTCATCGAACGACTTCAAAATCGTTACAATAGCTTGACGACTCCATTGAAGACGTCATTTTTTTAAAAGTCAAGCTAAAATTAACTACGTATCATCTTCAATTTTTCTTTAAATAGTCTTAATTGATATTTAATTTTAAGTTCTTAAATTTTGATTCCTTTTCAATGAAAAAAAAATCAAAAACAAAAAATAAAAAGAAAATTTCACACGCATTTTGTTTACTATGACTTTTATCTGTATATATTTTTCTTAATAAATTAAGAAACATTTGCACATATGATGACATGATGCACTTCATGCATGAGCTTTATACCTAGGTTTCGTCATTTAAAAGAGGAAGTAAAATATTTATGCTCTCGTGAGGTGATAACCTTTACAATGACAAGCGAAATACTTTCATTCAAATTGAACCCTTTTCGTTTGTAGCCTATAATGGGTGAAGATTGGGGTGCCTTGCTAATTTAGCATGGATGATAGTGAGGAATAATTTAGGAACCTCTAGATGTATGTCCAAACCAAACATATAATAAGCCTAAAAAGCTAGCCTTAGGTAGAGATTCGCCCACCTTTTTGTAAAAAAACCTAAGTCTAAAACGTGTAGGAATAAAAGTTGTGTATAATAAAAACAAAAAAAAATGAAAAAATCTCACAATTTTTTTTTCTTCATCTTAAGGCACATCCTCACATGAACTCAATTTCATTTTTCTTCTTCTTCCTTTTACATAAAACATATCATATAGTTCTACATCGAGATATTTACTCTAAGATATCTTTCTCCAGATAAGTTCTTTATGGATCCCTTAAAGCTACATATTTGCTCATCCTTCATCAATGTCCTATATGAATCATATAATAAAGTATATGTTTGATAAAAAAAAGCCTAACAAAAAATTAAAGACTATTTACCTACTGGTTATGTGTTTAAATTACCTGAGAAAGTGATTTGGATATCACATAAAATAATTTAGAAGACTTAGTCATCATCTGGGCTCAGTTAAGTGAAGAAAAACAAGAAAGCTTTTGCAAGAAGTACGAAAAATTACATCCCTTATTCTGATAGTGATCGAGGAATAGTTGGTTAAGACAGCTATATAGTTTTGAGACCCATCCTATAGATGCTTCACTTTTAATTGAAAAGATTTGGTGCTAATCATTGAGGAGTACTCTATGTTACTCTGGATAGAACTGTAGTATCTAGATAAAAGTGTTTACCTGATAGCTAAAATCAAGTTATCGTAAAAAATTGGCCAAGCTTATTTAGGATAAAGTAGAAATCACAGATTTCTTCGCAAAGCCAAAAGGTGAACATCTCGATATTTGTCGGGACTTTCTTCAAAATTTTATTTGAGTGCATTGAGATGAAAATCAAGGCATGGCTATGTTTGCTTTGGCATTGTATGGAATTGTAATCTTCCCAAAGACGTTAGGTTACATCGAGATAATTATTGTGGACTTTTTCGAGCAAATTGAAATGCAAACAATTAATCCTACATAAGTAGTCCTAGCCGAAACCATTAGGTCATTGAATTTCTGTTGACGGAGTAAATAATAATGGTGTATATGGTGTGTACCACTATTACATGTGTGCGTTAAAAGTCATTTCAAGTGTGGAAAAAATGTATTCTCAAAGTCGTATTTTTAAAAAAAGGCACCAATTGAAGAGTTTTATTCTTACGAAGGCTTACTGGGGATGAAATAGAATGGATGGCATTATGGATGCCCCATGTGCACATGTTGTATTAAGGAAGAAATAAACCATGAATACTACTATTAGGACTATGGAGGTGTGGTAAGTTACACTCCATTGATGGTACTTAGGCAATTTAATGCAAAGCAGTTTGTTCCTACCACTCATGGCCAGGTTCAAATAGAATTCACCTACGAGAAATTCATTCCACCAAAAACGTCAGAGCAACTGATCCAAGCATGGAAGAAAACACGAAGAATGATATTAGGGCCTCTTTTCGACAAAGTCATTCATAATTACCAAATTTGGAAAGCGAAACAACTTAGAAACATAGTGCTCCATCCTAATGATGGCTTATATCTATCAGCTAACTTTTTGATAAAAGTGTAATTATCAAAAGTTGAGCTTATCAAAAAAGAATTAGAAGTTGAAAAGAAAAAATAAGAAAAGAAAATTTGAGACTTAGTGAGAAGATAGGACAGTTGAAATACAAAGCAAAAGTATAAGGGAACATATTGAAAAAGGTCATAAACGAACAGGATATGGCTAACAATGATTCGAAAGATCTGCATAAAAAAAATAAAA